GAGTTTCCCTCTTAGTGGAGATAGTGGGGTAAAACCCTAAACAACTTCAGTCTTCTACAAATGAGTTTCCCTTTTGACTTTTATATTGTTTTATTATCTTATTTGGTGTATATTTTATGTTTCATAGAATTGTTACATGTTTTGAATATAATTTAACTAAATATTAGCAAAATATATTGAAATGTTAAAAAAATAAAAATATTTTTATAGTAAATATAAAACCCCTAACTAAATATTATCAAAATACATTGAAATGTTTAAAAAAATAAAAGTACTTTTATAGTAAATATAAAAGCAACTATATAATGTTAGATCGTACTTATATGAAATTATATATAGCTAAATTATTAATTTATGATTTTAGTGGGACCATATATTTACATGGCAGTTTTAAAATATTATTATCTTATTATTTTATCAATTTGTGTCATATTTTACACCGGTCCAAGTTGGGACCAGTGAAATTTATTAATTTTATAGAGATTATTAATTTATCGAGTATTAATTTATAGAGGTTCTACTGTATATGTCAAATTGTCAACCAAATAAAAATAATATAATATCTTTTTGTTATCAAACAAATAATTTAATATCATGTCGTGGATTTTATGCTGCGATTTTCTTTACATCGAGTAAATCTATACCTACCTAGGTTTCTGTTATTGGATCTACTCAAAACTTTGGTTTACCAGTTACATTAATGTGTTTCTGTTAGTTAAATTCCTTAGACATCATTATATATAATATCATTAATTAATTTATTAATCATATGTAATTAATCTATTGATCTTAGATATATGCTCTAGGTTAGTGATACCAAAATGCTCAAAAAAAAAAGGAACTTAAAAGGCACGAACGTTCGAGTAGCAGCACAAGTTGTTTTTGTTGTCAACAACTAAAGTAGTTCAGAAAGAAAAGTAGTGGTTCAGAAAAAAATCAAATTAACTCAAATAAAAAGGAAAAAGAAAAGCGTCCAATGTACATGCATGTCCACGACGTGAAAGTTAAAAGATCACTATTTTTATGTGAAAAATCAAAGTAGAAAATGGAAAGAAGAGAGAAAGACAGTGAGGTTCATATTTGGGAAATATGAGAGAGATCGTTTCTTCTTTTGTACCTTTTTTGTTGGGCTTCATCGTCTGATATTGCCAGTCACTTACTCAGATCTACCCTACAGGCTACATCATACCACATGCCTTCTCTAATGTATACACATGGCATATATTTAGGTGTTAGATTCTCTGCACAATAATATGTAATCACCTTCTGAACCAAGTTTGTATACATTATCTATTATCTACTGGCTTTTAGTTTCAATAAGTATACAGTAATTTACTTTGAAACCAAAGTTTAAAACAACATGTGGATCAAAAGTAATTATCTTAATCAGCAAGAATCACAAAAAGATACCAATCGAATCTTAATTATATATATGTAGTAAGGCTAATGGATCTTAACTGATCAGAACAAATAAAATAAAACCGATCGCAGTTGTATCCCATATCGTGATATAAATATGTTTCACTTAATAATTTTTTTTTAATCAGAAGAAAATAAATTAAATATGCATGTAAACTATACATGATGCATATACAAAAAGTCTTAAAGTCTATACACATGACATGTCTCTAGTTCTTTAGCGCGCGGTACACGACATAAATTCTAACCAACCTCTACGTTTAGATCTCGATTAAAAATTTGATCTAAATTTTCAATCCTTGTTATATATATATATAAGCTAATTTATATATTGTAGTGAGTTTCTTGTAACAAAATTAATTATTATAAACTAATCAAAGCTTGTACTAGTATGCATGTTACTGTTTGATTATTTTCCAAACATATGCATGTTACTGCTTTAACAAATATGCAGGTTAGTCTATATTCGCATTAGTAAAAATCTGATTTCTTTTTTTTTTTATATATATATCTCCAAAAGCAAAATTATATCCATGTTTAGTCTCCACTGCATTGATTGAAGTTCGATTTTTTTTCCAAAAAACTATTCTTCGTTAAAGTAAGATTACTTATATACAAATAGCTAGGCTCCATATTCTTGATTTGATTCTTCTTTTTAGTGGATGCAACTCTCAATCTTAACAGTACGAATATATTCCCGCTTTTTAACGTTATAATGATTATCTTTCAATCCCCTGTGAAAATAATTTACTCCTTCCATTTCTAAATAAGTCTTACTTTAATTTTTTTCATACATATTAAGAAAATGACGAAAATATATATAAGATGCTGTTAATTATACCTTTCTGACCAATATTATTTGAGATAAATAAAATTATTTATAAAATCAGTACAGTTTTCAATTAATTTTCAGCTGAAAGTAAGTATAATTTACATTGAAATTTAAATTGACACCTTTTTGTAATAAAAAAGATTAAAATGACACTTATTATGAAACAGAAGGAATATTAAACAATTATGCACATTACGAAAGAAAGACTTACAAAGAATCTTCAACATAGTGCAAGTAAACTCGATCAGGTGTGAATCTTCATAGGATAGCTTAGATGATGCAGTTAGGTGTATATCATCATAAGACAAGTAATATTATCAGTTGTCGTCTATATAATCTTTTTCATAATTGTAATATCATAATAAATCAACATAAAATAATTATATTTCTTTAAGAGCATCTCTAATGAGAATTCTAACATTAGAATTCTTTATATATATATATATATATATATATATATATATATATATATATATATATATATATATATATATTTTATCGAAACAGACTTATAATATAAAAGATGCAGAGTTACTCAGTTGCAGAAACAGAGTATTGAAGAGAATACAAATCTGACTTTGCTAAGGAATCAGTTTCAACATTAGCTAAACGCAAAACATGGATAAAAAAGATAGAAGTAAAAGATCATGCCAACAAACTGATGTCGTGGACAAAGCCTTTCGAAACCACATCTTGTCCTTGCGTCTTCAAGAGCGAGATGAAGTTTTTTGAGTCATAGAATCCGATACTACTAACATTTGAAGAGAGAGTAGCGGACATAGCCGCTTTGACCGCCAGTGCTTCAACCACAAGAGCTGAAGAAACAATACGCCGGTGAGAGAAACATCTTTCTGCAATGGAATTGTAGGCATCACGAAGTAACCAACCAATTCTGCAGTTCCCTGTTGATGAGTCCCAAGCTGCATTAGCCATTGGTAACAACGAAGGTGAAGATGAAGAGTAGACCACACATTGTGGTAAGGAAGATTTTTTGACACTAGTCTGAGCCGTCTTCCAAACTCGTGCATCCTGTAGAATCTTAAGAACCAAAGGCACAAAGATAGAACCAAAGGAAACTTTGTCCAACAGGACCTTAACAACTAAAACCAAGAGCCACAAGTTCAACACACATACATCTCGCATTCTAAGCCACTCAAGAGAATAAATGTAAGCGAAGAGGGAGGATCTGTGGTGAACCTAGAGGACTGTAACAAGAGGGTATAAAGGAAGGTTGGGACAAGAACCAAAGGTCACTGGAACATTGCAATTCAAAACCATCTTCGGTGACACCCAGGCAACAATCATTTCATACCAATCTACATGAGAACCAACTGAGATTGAAGAGTAGAGACGAACCAAAGTGAATGGTGTGTCAAGGTGCAGAAGAACAAAGAGATGGCATGAAGAATCGGGAGGATCTGGTGGTTCCGGTGGGAAGAGATATCTGAACGGCATTGGAGAAGACGAACACGGCGGCATGTCAGGTGGTTCCGGCGGAGAGAGAGTTTCGGATGGTACTAGGAAAGACGACCACAGCGGCGGGGAGAGGGCTTCGAACGACATCGGAGAAGGTATACGCGGCGGCAGATCTAGTGGTGGACGGAATCACAACGGAGGAAGTGGCAGATGGAGTGACGATGGAAGAGACACAATCGCCTCCATATTCATGAGAGAGGAGAGCTGCTTCAAGAGGAGAGTGGAGGACCGATGGAGCTGGGATTGAAGAGATTCATCCGGAACGGCGCACCTAGGGATGCGTGTCTGAGAGAGAAGTTTTAGGGCGAACCTCTCTTATCCAGTTCGAGTTTATATATATATATATATATATATATATATTTTGGGCAAACTCTTTATATATGTATATTAGTATTGAATTATAATTTTTTAATTTAATAGGAAATATAATTTAAAATATTTGTACAAAAAAATTTTGTAAACTTAAGATATTCATAATTAAATACTAATATTTATATATGTATATTAAGAACTTCCAATGTTAGAATCTTCATTGAGAATGCTCTAATTGTAATTAGATTATATATATATATATAGTATAGATGTTTACTCTTTGTTTACATAATTGATTTTTAGTCTTTTATTGATAAAAAAAGAGGTGTATATTTTTAAATGCCTAAGTTCAAAAACAGAAAATAATCAAAGTTATATATTAAAAAAATCACAATCTATTGTAAATCTTATTTTTAATTATGATTACAATAAAAGCAAATAACCACCTTGTTGTTTAGACTATTTTTGTCAAGAAGAATACTTATCTTAACGATCAGCCTGGAGTATAAAGTTAAAATTTATTGCTTAACTAAGAGTAGGATTATCGTATTTTTAAAGGGGTTTTTAGAGAAAAATTATTGTATGGTCTCTACAAAAACATAAAAATCGGTCATAAAAGTTATATAATAAAGATTAGTTTTGGAGTGTTTCTTGTATTGTTCGTGAGCTTCACTGACACATAGCGGTTTGCAATTGGTTCGATTTTGAATTTGTTTCCAGACAAAATAAAAGCAAAAAAATATCGGTTTCAGTGATAATTATGCTCTAGCTATCCGAATTTTGTAACTGATTAGTGATATACTTAACTTGGAATGTGGTATAGTTCTTTCATCTCTTATCTTTTTAATATTAAGATAAATAATACACATAGACAAAAGAAAAACATGTATGTAAAGACAAAAGCACATATATATAACTAAACCCACAAGTCCACTTCTCTAAGAAGATTTGTTCAGACACACGCTAAAACACAACAAAACCTTCAAGAACATATCAATTTATTATTTATCTACAGAAAATGGATCTTGATTTATTACAAGATCTGCCCATGTTGAGTTTCCCATCACCCATCAAGATCCGATCCAACAACAGAGATGATGACGGCGGCGGCGGCGGCGGCTGCTGCACCACTCCCACTTCCTCCGGCCACAAGATTCCTCCCTCCACCGCCACTACTCCTCCTCCTCCGCCTCAAAAACGCCGTGCACCTCCCTCGTCTCTCGTCTACAGATCTTGCAAGAGGAAGCTTTTGACGGCATCAAAGTTTGAGATCATCGTCAACAAAGATGAGATAGATCGCTTCTTCTCCTCTGTTTACAACCAGACGATGACGTCATCCCCCACCAGCACCACTACCACCACGACGTCGACCCTCGCGGTTGCTAGGCGACGGAGAAGCTTCCGTTCTTGTTCCAGAAGATGATCAATAATTGAGATTAACCACAAACATGCTAAAAGGTTCCTTCATCTCGGTAGCTTTTTTCTATTTTATTTATTTTATGTAATGATTCTCAACTTTAATTTACACGTCGATCCACTCTATAAATATACATGTGCCATCCATCGGTGGAATCTTTTGTTTGTTACTAATTTCATTTAGTTATGAAAATTTTCAATAATATATTTTGTTTGTAAACGGAAGATCACTCACACGGTATATAAATTTCCACTGAGACATAATTTTTCTTTGATGAACATCAACTTTCATTAATTAAACGATGAATACAAGATTATAACCTCAACAAAGGTGTTAACCACTGAGACACATATTTAAAACTGAGTATGTGTCTATGTGAGATATCATCTTTCAGTAAAAAAATTGAAAGCGCATTCAAAAAAAAAATCTTGCAGTAAAAAACTATATGTCGACCAATAAAACAATTCAGAAGAAAAAAACGAAACTAAAAACGATCTCGACTGGAAATGAACAGTAAAATTCCATGAGATTTACTGTTTTCTCAGTGGCCAAACAATATAGATAAATGAAATTCTTTGATAAAAATGATATATGAAATTCATGAATTGATCCTTATGAATTATTGAATTAGTGTAATATATGTTATGAACTTATGATGGTAACTAATATATGAAAATGAGCTGCCTTAGCAATCAATTATGTTTGTCGGCCACGATAGATTTATATAATGTGTTACAATGGTGTGCATGATTATGCCTCCCGGTGATCCGATATAAATCTAATAAATACCACATTTTGATGGTTAGTAAGATAAAAAGAAATATAATCTACATGGCATCATCGTCGAGAATTCGAAAGGTAAATATTGAGAATTGTGAAAACATATGAGGTTTGGGCCGTTTGGATGAGAAAATATATTAATAAAGTTCAGGTTAATGTGAATGATAAAAAAGTGATGGCGTTTAATTATATAATGGTTGAGTGTCTTGCGAACTTGTGAAAGACGCCACGAAAAAGATAATGATGCCTTGATCCAACAATATTTAAATTAATATTAATAAAAACAGACTGTTTATGATTTCACAAGGTAATTGAGTAAATATTGTAATCGAGTAAAGTTGATCGGAAATGCAAGTAGATCTCTGACATTTTTGGACCGACAGATAGAGCGATAAATACGGCTTCGGGATCTGTAAACTAATGTAACTAAATGTAATTTAATGTTGTTGTGGATGACGCCTCGTAGATAATCAATCTAAAATCATTAGGATGCCCATCCCCAATTACTCGGAATTTCACATGTCAATATTTCAAACTAGATTTGATACTGTACTTCAGTAATCCTATGTGATTAGAGTAATTCCAGTGTAAATCTGGTTTTGTTGAACATTTTGTTTGATAATTCAGCGTCAGTCTGAACAATTTCTCTCAAAATTACTGGTACTAAATTAGACATATATTTGATCCCAAGAAAAAATAGACATGCTTTGAAATATACGTATTAAGTATAGTTTGATATTTTTGTACAGTATAACTCGACACTTCAGAAATCACAAACTCACACATCATGTATATTCAATTACATAGTTGAGTGTCGAGTTATAATGTTTATAACATTGAGTTTTTTTTTTTTGGAAAAGGACATTCATTCAAAAACATTGAGTTTCGTATTGACTTAGTCATAGACTTTTTTTAGTTATAGAATTTCTTTGTCAATATTTACTACTTACTGACATAATATTATTTAACATAATTGATCTTTAACAAAGGGATGACGTCAATTAGCGACAAGTGCAAATATTACAAAGTATATGAGATTAAGCAAAAGAGGTTAAATAATATAATACAGTTTACATTGTAGATTTACCTTTCATGGATATCTTTTAAATGCGATGTAGAAAAAGGTGGATATGCACGATGATGAAATACATTATTGTATCACTGTAGTTTCTATGATTGTTGTTAGTTTTGCTTGATCTGGTTTATTTTATTAGATCGTGCGTAATAGCACCTACAATACAATGTAATATTTTTATACACGCCATTAAAATCAACATGATGATTAATCCAGCACATGAAATCAGTATTATTCAATATTAGTAGACATACGACATGTTGGGGTACAATAATTAGCCGGGTTTGTTGATGTTTGGTACAGTATATCGTCGTTAGTTCTGCAAACTATACCAGAATATACTGAATTATATAGTAGTATAGTATTTTATGGTTGGTAATGAATTATAGTTGCATAGATTAAGAATCTGATTACCCACAATAATCTTGGAAATATATATATAGACGAGGAGTGGAATAGTCTGTATTAAAAAGGTTTTGTGAATGTATATATACAGTGAATGTGTAATTGAATAGCTCATAAAATTAGGTTACATGGGTAGGGGTGGAATAGATGAAATTAGACCGAACATTTAATGGCATTGAAATAGAAAGGTATAGAATGGTACTGTGACCAAAGAGGAACCATGTCTACATATTTAAATATGGTAATCTCGTTTGCACGAACGTGTTCTTCAACATTCATTATAACAAACCACAGACTCTAACATCTTAGACAATACTGTTCTGTTCGTAGCAAAAATCAAACAAAATTATACTTTAGTACACAAACAAACATTTTGTTTCCAACATCATCACGCTATTTGTTTCTACTAGGCTTCGATTGGGGTTTTGACTTTAGAAGCTTTAAGTTAATCCTAAAGTCTTTAAAATTAATTTTATGCCAATCAGGCTTTAACCATTCTAAAGTCCTAAAAGCCTCCCTTAAATATCTCAAAGCCAAAATAATTGTTTTTGTACTTAACATGAGTTGATTTTCTCAAAGTCATAATTTATGGCTTTTATCGTTTCTAAAGCCTTAATTTCAAAAGTCAACTTTTAGTAACAGAGAATTTTAAAAGCCAACTTTTATAAACAGTCAAAGCTTTCACAGTCACCCCCAATCGGAATTGTAAACCGGTTAAGCCATAAAACCAGCTAAAAACCAGATAGTTTAGCTGATTTTTTTTTGATTCAGCCCATTACAGACCCGTAGACTTTAGGCTAAGTAACACTAGGCCCATACAAATATGATTTAGACATGAAATCGTACGAGGGATGAATCACAAAAGCCCAACTTTCTTCCCTTTTTAGGTAATTTAACTTTTCTTTCATTCAGAACTATACACCTCATAGTTTAGTTCTATTGTTGTCAAAAAAAAAAAAAAAAAAAAAAAAAAAAAAAAAAAAAAAAAAAAAAAAAAAAAAAAAAAATAAAAAAAAAAAAAAAAAAA